CAGATCTTTTAAAAAAGGAGCAGAAATTCTTGAATCTGTATAGTTTTTGCTTATTTATGATATATTTGGCTAATATTAAAATAAAAATTAATTCATTATAACTTGGAATCTATTAAAAAATAAAAATAATTTCGAGAGTTATAATAATTAGCAGGAAATACACAAGTTTTTTAATATCTATCTTTCTTATTAAATAGCATTATATTACTAAATTATAATTATTATTATTACGGATATTATGAATATTAAAATTATTTAAGAAGAATGGCAAGCTCACCTTTCTAATAAAACTCGTACTACAAAGACCAGCATGGCCTTTCGTATTTGACAGCTTCATACAAAGTATAAACAATATTTCACGTGCGAGGTATTATCATAAAATAATAGCTTAGCATAATAAGCCTAATAGCCTAGAAGGCATGTACTAAGCTGTTAACAAGTCAGCTATTCTACAAGTTTACAAGCAAGTTAAGAAAGCAAAATTTGAGCAACCAAGTTGAGCTCTTAGAAAGTATTAAGTGCTGGAATTTACAATTTAAACTGTATTGGAATTTACAATCTAAACTAAGTTTGTTAATTTCTAAAAATTTCCACGACACGGCTTCCGGAATTTCGTTCTTGACAAGTACAATGCTTTTGTCCCACGCCGACAACTTATAATTAGCCTGACAAGTACATTCCGTTAATTATCGTATACGCTGAGGAAGCCGAGCGAGAGAATCGTAGCCCGTCAATCGCAGCCCGAAACAATGACGCGCCAATGCCATTCACACATTGCATTCTGCTACAAAAGGCTAATGCTATGTAAATATATAAAGTCTCGCCCATTCAAGCGCGATCTTCTTCTCACGCGAGAATAGTTAAAGGCGGCCTTGTACTTGGCGTCCCGACCTTTTAGGAAAAGAGATGATGTACGTCATCGCGTACCGTTACGACACACGATCACGCCGACCGATTCGTCAACGTTCCTCCGTGTCTTTTTGTCCCCTTTCAGGTATCCACCGTGTCGGAACGAGTCGCGAAATGAATTCACAAATGGACCGTTTGAAGATCGCCCGACAACGAGACTGGGCCTTCTAGCGTTCAACTACGATCTAACTCGCGCGGAGCAGCTATGGTTTGAAAAGCTGGGTATAGAAATATATTTTATATATATATATATATATATATATACGTACTATCAATTTCCATACGCTCCGTGCCGCGTACTCGTTTTGCGGAAGGTTACACACCCGGTGAGTTTTACGACGTCGCGCTTTGGTAGCGTAATTCAGTCCCGAATGGTTTCTGCGCCAAGTAGACGCGGTTCTCTCGACACGCAGATTATAATGCGTTATAACGTAACACGAGACACTACTCAGTTATACTTCTTCTACAACCAAAGACGTTCAAACCCGTTTCAGCAATGAGGTTTGCTAATAAAAAAAATCGAAAGAGGCGATATGCCGTTCACTGGGCTTTACAGGACGTGGATATCAACCGAGTGTGAGAAAAATTCGATATTACGATTACCAAGACGTGTTCAACTGCATAGTACTTTCGTTTGTTGGCCTTTTATCTACATTATTGCGCGCACATAGGTATTTAGAATTGTGGCATGCAACTTTCGCACTCGCTAGAACAGATTTTTATACACAGTATATTGGAAAAAAAACTGCTCAAGGAGCAATAAATAAATTTATCGAATAGATCAATTAGATCCAGGATTTTATTGGCGATTGAAATAGC